TGAATTTACTTGAATATAAAAGAAGAAAAGTGATCACGTGATGTTTGAAACACATCTCTCTGTAATATGACAAAATAAATTGTGCAGTGATTAATTTACTACAAAACAACAATAGGCAGGAGGTTTACTCATCTCTGCATGTAAAGATATAGGTAGACATCTGTTGAATTAAAACAATTTTCTATAATGCATCAATATACTGGATGCCTTCTATCAAACTTGCTATCATATTGTATCAGTGTATGATGTAATATATGTCCACCAGGTGGTACTGTAGAGGAAGATCCCATAAGTAAGGAATAGTTAAAAGGGCACTCCAGGCACCATAACAACTCGATCTGAATTATGTTGTTATGGTACAAGGAGGTCCCCTAGAAGCCCTAGAGTGCTGACACCTGTGCCCAATAGCTCTGCCGTGCTATTTCTTCTGCAGTCCGAAGCTTGAATCATGAAGCCTCGGACTGGGACCAATGGATAGGCTGATGGCATTAGTTGAAACTCTTAGCCTATCAGTAGCTTCCCATTCACAAAACTGTTTGAGCAAAATATGCACCTTTCTCAAGCCATTTTGTGTGTTAAGGGCATGGGGGAGCGTGGGGGAGAGGGGGTGGAGGAAGGGTAGACATATTTACCTCTACCCTCCATCTTATTCTTGGTACTAGATTTTTGTTCCTGGCTGCATTGCTCTTGCACCCAGTTATACTCTTGCAGGAGGAACAGCAACATGCAGAGTTAGAAGCTCCGGCTAATGCCGCATTTCACCAAAAATAATTGTGTCAATAAGATAACATAGTACCAGCATTTTCTCATATAGTTTGATTGCTTAAAAAAATTAATAAAACTGATGATTGAAGTATAACTCCCAGAAACCCTTGCTGCACCCATAAAGCACTAGTCATGGGAAAAAAATCAGAAAGTAGAGTAGGCATCAGACATTTCCTGATCTGGTGAGAGTTCACTGCAAACCCTGAGTCAAGACTTTAAAATATATATTTTTTTACTTTGTATTATTTTTTATTTATTGTTTTACTTAAAAAATTGGCTTTTGCAATTTTGGCTGTTCACAATAGGCTCGATTCTAATGCATTCGCTTGTAAAACTTCCTCTCTCATTCACTTTATTCACTAAGAACAAAATTGTAACTGAATTGAGCCGAACAGTGGGATTCACTTGAAATTAGTCTAGTTGAATTGCAACCGAATTCCAACCAAATTGCAGCCGAATATCCCTGCTACAAGAAAAGAAAGAAGAGTCTGGTTTGAGGATGGGATCATCCTGTTGTTATATGGAGATTTGGCAGATTTTTAAAAGACAAATACATTTTGGCCGTTTAGAAGTGCAAATCTGGTTGAAATAATCCAATAATTTAATTGGATAAAACAGTCAAATTATGACAATCTAACTTCATTAAGCTGCTGGTTGTTTGCAACTACTACAATAAATAATTAATATTCACATACTGCTATGCATTTGGAGTAGCATAATTCAAAATAATACCCCATTTTGACTTGTGAAGTGGTAATACTAATATTTTAAAAACATTTATAGACTGCTAATAAAATATTCTTTCTTATTCCATCTTCCATAGAGCGACTCTGTCATCTTTGGGAGTCTAATCATATTTTCTAAAGACACCCAAAGCTGGAATCATTTCTTTTTTAACAGATGCTCAGGGGTGCAGTGGAAGGAAGATATACTTACCTGAAACTGTCCCACGCAGGTGCCGGCATTTTTTTTCTTCTTTCTTTTAGCCCCTGGCATTTCATCCAGAGTACAATACTGAGGTCTGCGAAGAATCTTGTGAAACCTAAAGAATCGGTCTATTAAATATTGAAAATCAATACCACTATGACAGAGCAGCCTTAGTATAACAATATATTACCTGCTGAATAATACACAGATATAAAGGCATTGGATAATTCTCTGCAGATCTGGAAATGCTTAGAGAATAATGTCTATTTGCCTGAAGCATAAAATACAGATTAGTTATTTTTATTATTTCCTTTTAAGTTCTGCTTTATACTCATTATTAAACCAGAAAAAGCTGAATAAACATTATAGCAGTTAGTGCTACATGTAAAGGCTATTACAATGGTCAGTGGTTGTAATATAAACACTGACAAAGGGTTAAAATAATAAAAGCAGGACAGAGAACAGGCTCCAGATTGGGGCTCAGTGCTCTCCCTCCTCTAATAAATCTAACCAGCTTGAGTTCAAGAGAGGTGAGAGTTTACTCTGAAACATGAAGGGTTAACTAGGTGCACGGGTGGAATGTTTAAAATATCATACAGTTTCAAAGCAGCACGGGATTCACTGCTGTGTGTTGTGAACCACATGCAGTCACCTTAAATAATGCAACATAAATCAGCCAGCAACATTAGTGCACACACCAACAATTATCTCTACGCACTATAATTATCATGCAAAATATACTGTAATTGCAAAACCCCAATTTAGAAAAGTTCACAACCAATATATTGCCTTATTTGAACTCAGTAGTTCTGTTATGCAGGTCACTGTTTTACTGATTTACCTGTGCATCTGAAAGGGAGGAGGGGGGGATATATCCTGCAATCACAAATTTTATATTCACAGATGGACAAGGGCATTTGATTGACAGGTAAAATGAATATCTCAAGATGTAGATATATTTTTGCCTGAGACAGAAATAAATTGACATGCACAGGTAAAGCAGTCAATTTACAAACCTACATGGCAATGCTTCTAATACTGTGTAAAATGTCAAATAACGAGACATTTATAATAGGTAATAGATAAATGCAAAAAAAAAAAACTATAAAAAAAGTATATTCTAGTTCAGGGGTAGGCAACCTTCATCACTCAAGATGTTGTGGACTACATCCTCCATAATCCTCTTACACCCATAATGCTGGCAAAGAATCATGGGAGGTGTAGTCCAAAACATCTGCAGTGCCGAAGGTTACCTATGCCTGTTCTAGTTTCTATAAAAGGGGTACATCACCCAAATTACATATGATCCCTTTGCATTTCAAGCTCCAGCCTAGCGGATGAAACATTTTTTAGGAATACCATGAACATTAGTGTTGAAGCTAGCCTTTCTGAACATAATACTTATTGCTCACTCTACTACAATATATTGCAAATGTCCAGATTTTGAGACAAAAAAGATGCTTATTTAGTAGAAATGTGTAGACCTTTGTTAAGAAACAACATATAACTATGACTTCTTAGGCCATGAGGATCGTACATGGGGTTCAACGATCTCATCTAGACTTCAGAGCACAGAGAGAATTGCTTTTAAAAAATGACAACTTTTTTTATGATTTACTGCTACAATAACGAGAGTGGAAGCATACGATTCTGCTAAAGTCACTTTTCACAAAATATGAAATACTATAAGCAGATAGTGTTATATCAAACTGCATGAATTACGAAATGGCCTGGCTAGTCATATTACAACATAAATGTAATGGTTCTTTTACCATGTCAGCAGAAGTCACTGAGACTTTCTATTTAATGAAAACCAGGCTACCTCGATGATGTTGTCATTGACAACCAAGAGAGCTTAGAATGCATCATTTTGAAAACCCATACATTTATTATTTCATGTCAGGAAAAGACTAAGGTTGTTATAGCTAAAAATGCTTCAGTGATCCAATTTATACTAAACAGCTTCACTTCTGTAACAGAAAAGAAATATTATACTCTTATCTACTGTGTCGTGTGAAACGTGCATTTCTTTGAAGCCATAACATTTCAAGAAAAGGTTAATCCAACTATATTTGAATATAGCTACTATATTATGCTAATGGGAATATCTAGTTTTTGATTCGTCAAAATTTCCTTTAATTATGCATGTATCATACATAATAAAATAAAGCTCTATTTTGAGTGTATATTATGAGTTATTGTCCTAATTTAGAAATGTTCTATGTCCACCTATGTAAAAAAAAAGCTTCGTACTCCATTAAAAAAACAAAAACCCAAAACAGGGGGCGGGGCCTGACAGCCAAGATGGCCGGTCGCATATTCTCAGAGCTCCAGCCATGCAGCGCATATTACTGACCGACCCGCTAATGCTGACAGCTCAAGGTGACCAGAGACCAACCCGAGATAAAACGAGCAACAAAATGATACCGGTCCTGCACAGAGACGATGAGGTACGACCCAGGCCGGCCACGCGGCCTAAACATGAGCGAAGCCTGCAGCCCGGGAGAGACGGACAATTTCCCGGCACAGGACCCGCTTACAAGCATGAACCTGATACAGCCCAGCCACCCACCCCCCCCCTGGACCGGTGGGGGATATCCCGGTCCTCGCTCGCCACGATCACCCCCACGCCATGGCCAGCACAAACAACAATGCCTAAAGCGAGACGAAGCAGCCCAGGACCAAGCAAGATGGCGGCACAGACACAGCCTATAAGGAACTGCACACTCAACAAGCCTCCCAAGCACACAGGGGATTTCTATGACAGGCTATGTGCCAGTCTGTGGACTAAGCTTCACACCTGGAGACAGGCCTTCAAGAGGGCGATAAAAGAGGTGGCGGCATGGATCCGCCCGGCAACACGGCGCCAAATAGGCGGGAATCCCCCTTGTACCTCCAAAGCAGCCCCTCGACGGAGCAGAAGATCTGCACAGAGGGCAATAGCGCCATGTGCCAGGGGGCCAGCACCCACACCCTCATGCCTCAGAAGGTGACTCACCAACAAGCACGACCTGCTCGCCCCTCAGCGGCTCCAACAACTCTCATCAAGGAGGGCGCTGCCCCACAAGCGAGAACCCACAGTGCCAGCCACGCTGCTGATCGGGAGGCAGCAAGGCATCACACCAGTGGGAGACACAGGCAGAGGTCCCCCCCACAGCCCACGGGAGAGAGAGCATTGACTACTGGGGGAGAGGACCTACCACTGAGACCCTCACAGCGGCACTTTGTGCTGACCTTTTGCAAACCCGCCCATGATGACCGCTTACCACGAACTGGTATGGTGTGAGAGAGACTGGCTCACAGACACACGACCCTCCTTAAGCATCTCCTCTCCTTCTGCGTAAAAATTCTTAACTGTTGAAATGTCTTGCTCCTCATTATAGTCTCAGCAAGGTTATCATTTGCCATAACTCGTTTTACAATACTTGATCAACCTGCTTGTAAATGTGTGTTTCTCCCTATCTTTGCCTTAACTACGCAGGCTTATAATACATTCGCAACTCAAACTATGTAAGCATGGTCCTCTAAGCATAGTGAGGCAGATGGTAAACTAGGTAAAAACTATAAAGCTGCAATGTATGATCGGACATAGGCACTTACCTGACATTAGCATGGAATCAGCGAGCATATAGCACAACACGTCTCAACCCTGCAGCACATAATCTATTGACATGTACCTGAAAACGTCGTAAACTCACCCAAAACTCTAAACCGAGCTTGCAGGGATACACTAGCTCTTGACACAGCATAATAATATCACAAATAGGTAGTAAAGCACTGTTGCGTTGTGTTATGAGAATATAAGCTCCCTAAGCAACGAAAACCTATGTTGTTTAGCACCCATCCTATTCATATATAAAAATGTGCTAGATCTACCTTATACCTCTATGTTCAACTGTTTGTTAACTGCTGGAGGATTGCCTTTGGGGTACCTCACATGCATCTGTTCAAAGCTTATGCACTACAAAAATAAAGAATAATAAAAAAATAAAAAAAAACGAAAATGATCAATGAACTGATTAACACCACTCCATCAATCAGTCTACCTCTTTCTCACCTTACACAACAATTTTTTGTATGTTTTCTAACCTCATTACACTGTTATCCTGTACAGCTACAGCAAATGTCACATAATTCATATATCTAATGTATGTAGATTGATACAAATGGATTACCTCGCAATATATCTTCTGATACATTACATTTATTGCTTGTGTAATCGCCTTTAGGGAATCACAAAAACGCTTTCTGAAGGACAGCACCCTTAAAACATATTTAACTTCAAACAAAGGCTATGAATCAGGGAGAGATTTAGGGATTGGGACCTTATCATCTTTTCAGAATCAAAGAATAGTCCCAGAAGAATTGAGTTGAATCTGTAAGTTGAATGGATTCATGGCATATTGTGTGAATAGCTTTTACAGGTATAGAGCTTGTCTCTCTGTTACAAACCATAATTGCTGAGGGAGCAAAATATGAAGTAGAAACTATTATAAATATGTCCATGCTTTTGATTAGGAATTTCAATAGGCTATTCAGTTTAATAGGCCAATCAGTCTACATGACTATGGTATTGCTGGTTATCCAATTTGGGAAAAAGAATGCTGATGGCTGTATTTATGGCTTTAATGCTCAATCTATCTTAAAGGGACACTATAGGCAATGAAACAACTTTAGCTTAATTAAGCAGTTATGGTGTATAGATCATGACCCTGCAGTCTTACTGCGCAATTCAAAGCTTATAGTATCCCTTTAATGGATGGCATTGTAAAGTATAGGAAGCAGTGTACACAACTAAAACTTAGGTTATCCTGATCCTGATGAAAGTCCCAGCTAGGGACTGAAACGTTGATCTCCCTGGACCCTTTTTGATGAAATAAAGACATTTTATTGAAGAAGACTGTGAGTGCAGACCTATTTTACATTTGAAATACACACACATATATATATATATATATATATATATATATATATATATATATATATATATATGTACACAGTTATTTTAGCTTCAGTAACTGTCTACAAATGATGACATATATGAGAAAACAAGAGGCTGGCGGCACTCACCTAAACATGCATAAATAGGGTACTGCTGGGAGCCAATAAGATGACAGACACAACTGAGAAAAAAGTTAAAAAATTTTCTAATTTTTTCCATACTGAACGAAGAGTTAGATATTTTTGACCAGTGTCTCTGCCTGCCTCTCTGCTATTTCTAACTGGATGGCTGCCCACTTCCTTAAACTCAACTTGTCCAAAACAGAACTTCTGGTCTTCCCTCCCTCAAGTGTTGCTACTCCCATCTCTGTCTCCCTCCACGTTAATGGTGCTACCATCAGCTCCACCACGCAGGCTCGCTACCTAGGTGTTCTCTTTGACTGCGACCTCTTCTTCACCCCTCATGTCCAGTCGATCGCCAAATCCTGCCGCTTCCATTTAAAAAACATTGCGCACTTCTAACCCTACTTAACACCAGATGCACTAAGGTGGATTTCTCTAGGGCTGCACCGTTCCTGTGGAACTCCTTTCCCTTCTCCATTAGACGCTCACCCAGTCTCTACTCCTTCAAAAAATCATTAAAAACTCACTTTCTTACAAAAGCATATAAATTAAACTGTTAATGGCTCCAAAAAAACCCACACTAATTCTTAATTGAATACTATTCTATCAATCTACTTCCCTAATACTTCACTTACCTTTTGTGTCACTTTACCCCGCTCCCTCTAGCATGTAAGTTCATTGAGCAGGGCCCTCAACGCCTCTGTTTCTCTGCGTCAAGCTTGTCTGGTTGCAATTACATGTTTGTTAGTCCATCCATTGTAAAGCGCTACGGAATTTGTTGGCGCTATATAAATATAATAATAAAAACAAAGACAACTCAAAAATGCAAACAAAACCTGTTCTTTTCTTGAAGGTGAAAAATTGCCTTAAAGTGATTAAATGGTTGTTTTTTTTTAACTGATAGGGAAAACGATAATTTTATAGATTCAGCTTGTCTTGACTTGTTACTTAATATTTTGTATAATAAAAAAACATAGTGAAAAACGCTACCTTTAGATTTTATCCAAGCAAAGTCACAGTTGCACTGGGATGACTGTAGGGGCACAATTTGTCGTGTGTAGTTGCCCGGAATCTGGTGTACATGATGTGCTAGTTTCAACCAATGGAACTCCACTAAAAATAGCATTGATGCTAGTTATTCAATAAAAACAACATATGTTTCTTAAAATCATGTATATGAAAGATTTCTGGAGACCTTTGGTCTTGTGTCTTATAAAGTGGACCCCTGAATGAAATTATATTATTACCTTAAAATGTGTTTAACCATGATATATTACCTCTCCCTGTCTCTACCTCTCTCTCTCTCTTCCCTTCATTATAACGAGTCCTTGTTCAGAGTATAATCTGTTGAAATGATGTCTCAAACTATTCATCAAACATGCCATCAAAGAGCCAGGTGACAAGTAATCCTTAATATTTATCTTCTAGATCTTTTCAAGCAGAGCAGCATAAAACAATTCCCACACATGGTTTTCTTTAGTCAGATCATTCTACTTGTCGGATTGACTCTTATCGTCATCCATTCATCAGCTGCTCGTATAGGTCCCCGTCTTCTAGAATTCAAAAACACCCTGGTAATTGAAGAGTTTGTTTTCAAAAGAATTTTAAGCAGAACGAAAGTGCATTTTTCTTGCTATTCCTGGACATCTTGAAGTATATATAAAAGGGATGTCAAGCTTACCATAAGATAAATGTTTTTGAAATTAGCTAACAACTGTTAAAATACATTGGTATTTATACTGATCTCGCTAAATCAGACATATCCATCTAAAATCAGCTGGACCTACTAAACTGGCACTTCAGGATAGATTTGTTATTTTTTTCTATTAATGAAATAATCGAAGCACCAAACCAACTTTTTCATTTTCAGACTCAGCTATTTTGTCCTTCATTTTGCTTTTTGATTTTCCTTCCAACTTTAATGTGTCTAATATTCAACTTCTATTGAATCTTCATTGAAATTCATGTTATGCAGAAGATACACATATATAGAAATGGAAGTGCACTCAACCCTTCGTTGTGGAATCCAGGGTGCTCCATGGAAAGTCCCAGTACCCAAATGGACCAAATATAAATTTAGTAAATGTAGAAAGTAATCCAGGCATTCCAACAGATTCCAAAATCAAGGCAATTTATTAGAACCAGGAACTACACAGCAACGTTTCAGCCCCTTAGGGCTTTTATCAAGCTACAGAAGATAGTAACACAAGGAGAAGAAAAATAAACAATATAAAATAAAAGTTTGTCTCTTAAACACCTAATAGATCTCCAGGTGATGTTGTATTACAACACCCATGATGCTGTGTCAGCTTTTAAAATGTCAAAGCATCACCGAAGATGTAGTTCTAATATATCTGGGGATCTGTTTCTTGGGAAGCCTTGTGGAAGATATTCGATATCAATGTGGACTAGCAAATGGAATGATACAACGTATCACATTGTCAAGTATTATTTGAACTCAATATATAGAATGAATTAAAATGCACCAAATTCCAGAGTCAATAAATTAAAAATATAGAGTTCCTAGGAATATATCCTAAATAAATAGTGAAGAGGCCAATTAAATGTTACACGTGACAGCTATATGCAATTAATTGTGAGAGTTAGACACTAGATAATAACTGGGTTATGCTGTAAGATTAATGTGGAGGTGAAATATCTAGGAAAAATAATTGCCCTTCCTACTTTGGTGAGGAAGAGTATGATCATTAAAAGTAGACACAAATAACAATCCGACCCCAGCTTACAAGACAGGAAAAGCATTTTTTTCAGTGTCATGTGTGTTATTAGTTATAATAGTTATTATTACTATTGTTATACCCTGGAATGCCTTTATCCACTTAATATTAGGTGATCAGTACATAAGCAATACATTGGATTAGGTTATGATGTGGGTTATTGTTTTAAAAATATAAAATACATATATATATATATATAGAGAGAGAGAGAGAGAGATTTGTTTTCACTTCTCCTCTTTCTTTCCCCTTTACTTGTCACCTCTCACTGGATCTGTTAATAAAATCAACAAGTTGATCAAATTTGGGCTGTTCAAGTGATTGTTCAAATTCCAGAATGCCATGGCAAAATATATTCAAATTACAAAATGGGCAATGTCCAAGCATGTTCGTTTTTTCAAGATTCTGACTTCTGAGTGTGACGTCCAAGAAAAGAGATGATTGATGGGAAAAAAGATGACTAATGGCTAGGGGATAGTCACTCAATGTTGATTTAAATGTTTTATTTTTTTTATTTATACTGTAAATGTTGATTTTATTCAGGGAAGTGAAAAAAGGGGGACAAGTGAAAGCACATCTATAATTCTATATTATATATTTATTAAATATATATTATAAATATAATTTTTTTTTGTTACTGCTTCTCCTCTTTTTCCATTTATTGACTACTTTTTGCCACTTGATCTGTTACCCAAATGTAGGGAAAGTTAGTGTATGGTATGAT